GGTCAGCCCTCAGCCAAGCGGGACAAGCCAGGTTTTCACTAAACACTCCATAAGTCTTTCAGGACACTTTCTTCTCGGGTGAGGTTATTCCTAGTGAAAGCTCGTTATGCACAAAGTCTGTCAAACAGCTGAACAAGTGCTTATGCTAGTTTCAATAGCTAAGGAAAAAATATGTCTCTTTCTTTATAAGATGAAATGGTCCCTTATAAGGGTCCCCAAAGTGAAAGCTTTTGATTTCAGAATGTCCACTGTTCTTTTATCCCCACTTTGCTTATAATGCACTGAGATCTTAACGTTCAAGGAGCTGGATGTGCACATTCTTCCACTTCATAAGATGAGTCATCATTTTTATTTGGGTCTTAATCTGACTTCACTTCAAGTTTTAGGAGCATGGCCCTCAAAGGTGCAATTGTACTGAGTCACCAACTCCACACCTTACAGTTTCCCCACGTCTTGAAGCTTGCCATCCAAGGTCTGCCCACAGGTGTTCTAGGAGCACGGAATCGCATGGGGATGAATTCCTTCACACTACACTGACCGTTGTGCAGTTGGAGTCCACTGAGATGCAGGTGGTCACCCTTCAGCTCAGCTGTATATTACTAGTCAAGAGTGAAACCAGATCTCCTGTGGTGTGTGTAGTTTTGGACAGAGTGTGTACGTGCATACATGCACACTTCCCAGTGTTAGAGCTTAGTGTATAGAGTGTGTTTGTATAGATCTGGTGTGATACTAGGTGTGTGTACAACAGGGCAAGAGTGTTTCAGCTCTTCAGTATTCAAGTGGATATTTGGTAAATTTACTAGTCATTTACTGCTCAGTTATATACCGCCTAACGAACATGAAAACCAAAACATATGCTCAGATACTGTTTTTTTATATTCAGAAATTGGTATCTCCCATTGTCTCCCTGGTGAGTTTTGCCTGGGTGCTCTGGTTTCCTCACATGTGCCAGATGCACGCTGGGTGTATCACTTGGTCACTATGGCCCTCTAGCCATCACTAGGTGTGTGTGCAGTCCCTCCATGTGCCCTGCGGTTTCTGTGCAGGTTCTAATCTACATTGGCACCTCTGGAACCAGGAATAGCAGCTTCCTCCTAGTGGATGGATAAATTAGTTAACACTGATACAAAAAAAAAAACCCATGACTCTAAATGATCGGTTTGACATGCTTTCGAATTTTAATCTGTTATGCTCTCTTGAGTCCTGTGCACCCAAGAGTCCCCGCTGCTGCCCGTGATGCTCAGTAGACATGTGGGATGAGCTTGTGTGGCACCCTGCGGCAGTACTCTTCCCAGGCCCCCCCATACTTCAGGTGGCACTCCTCCTCGATCTCCGCTGCCCTCCTCCGCAGCAGGCTGAAGCAGTGCAGCGCGGGCAGATAGGGCACCAGGCTGCTGAATCCTGCAACAGCAACAACATCGTTCAGCGGCTGCTCATTCGTGGAACGGACTCCCGATTCCTCTAGGCACTGTTGCAGTTTCTCCGTTCGCTTCAGGTCTTCGTGCGAGTGTGTGTGCTGCCCCACATGGAGCAGTCGCGAGCACAGAAGGGTCTGCTGGCCTGGCCATGTCGATCGTGCAGGGCCTGACCCTGACGTTCGTGGAGCAGGCTGCAGGGGCATTGTGGGAAAACTGATAAGTTCTGCTCTGCTTTGATTGATTTCACCCTAGTCAGGCAGGGTCTGCAACACATATAGACAGTATATACATACTGTATATAGGAAATGGACTATGGAAAAATAGGTGTCATTATTTGCATTTCCTCTTGATTATATACATGCAATGTTTTGTCTGCCAAACGAAACATGGCTGTAATCCGTAAACTGGCGTGTTTGTCTGGAAAACAAAAAACACTAAAAAAACAGGGCCCACCCATATCTTTCATCTTAAGATGAAAAAACGTTTCCTAACACGACAGTGTTTGTGTTTACCAATACAAATCAATCTAAACGTTCAGTTCGGTTTACGAATAGCTCTGCTCCAGTGGTGGGCGTTCCTGCTCCCGGATCCTGAAGGTTTTGCAGGGCCTCTTGAAGTCCCTGACAGTGAAATGCCAAGGGAGACTTGTCCTGCTCGTTTTGGAAAAACCGTTGCCTTCGTGTCGAAATGAACAGCTGGGATTGATAGAAAACTGTTCGTCCCGGTGGCCACTGACGACCAGGGTGGCAGCACTGGTCTACGCCTTATGAAAGAAGGACCCCCTACCGCAGGGTAGACACCAGGCCAGCGTTAGGACAATGTCGCCCAGGTAGTTGGGGTGTCGGACCCAGCCGAACCATCCTGATGCCAGCAGCTTCTGCCCCGTGTGGGTGGGGATGGTCTCCAGATCTGTGTTGGGGGCGATGATGGAGACATTACCCAACCCCAGCCAGAGTGACACCGTACAGAAACACCCCTCTATCCCCATTGTCTACTACTGAGTCCTGGGCACCTGGTCAAGCCAAGAACCTGAAATCCTCTGTATTTCTTTCCACGGGACATTATTATTACAACATTAGTAATAACAGTAGTCATTGAACAGCTGGCTATAGCTGAGGTAGTGATTCTCACTCCCGGTTGCTGTAGAGCCACAGGATCTTCTGGTTTTCCTTCTGCCTCAGCTTGTAATTACTTTATTGAATCAATTACTGGCTTAATTGAGTGAAATAGCCATTTTTTCCATGCCTTCAATCACTGCGTTTGAGCTCCCTATAAGATCTCAGAACCACATGGCTGCAGCTCTGCAGGACCGAGAGTGAGGATCAGTAATTTAAGGTGGCTCACAGTACATTCAAACAAATACAGGATTTTAAAATACGCACCATATTCCAAAAGTCCAGAAGTATAGAGAAGTGAGGTTAAGGGGACGACAGTACACAATACATAACGTCGTAAGCAAACAAAATGAAAGTACAAAATGTTGTATATAATTTCATAACAAACACGAGCATGTAATGGAAGGGTTTTTTATATCGTGCAAAGCAGCTCGGATTGTAAAATAGAGAATTAGGTTCTAGCTGGCTAACATAAACTAGGCTGGTTTTGGCCTAGACGGGTGCTTAATCGCAGGCTTACGTGCATATGCGTGGTCGTCTGGGTTCCTCCTGAAGCCATCCTTCTGATCGTTAGACAGGTAGTACACCAGGAACCCGAAACCTGGCGGGGACCGAGAGTGAGCAGGAGACAGAGGCACCCCGCCATTTCATTTCAGGTTTGTTCACACGCAGTTGAACTGCAAGGCATTCAGCTAGGGCATAGAAGGCAGACGATTAAGACATACTGAGTTATTCTTTTTTCCCCCGTTGTTTTACCACCTATTTGTAGATCTCAGTAAGGTTATCGGCAACTCTTGTGTGATCCACATGGCCGCCCTGGATCTCTTCTATTTTCTAGGGTAAATCCCCATTCAGGCATCTTGAGAAATTTGAGTTTTAACATAAGAAAGAATCGTTTTCTAAAACATGGAAATCTAAAGAGTAGCTCTAAAGTACCTGTCACCTTGCTCTGAGTATACCTGCGCCTGCTAACACCCACCCTACCCAGACGCCGCTCAGACAGTTGCACGCTGTCACCTGGGGAAGCTCTGTCACAGGCTCAAGTTGGCAATGACTGTGCTTCAGAACCCCGCTCCTGGGTGTTCAGGCTGCGGAGTCCTTCTTACCGAACAGCAGGCAGGTGGGGACGGTCGCGTGGAGGCTGAGGGAGGAGGGCTGGTTCAGCAGGTAGTACGCCGGGAGGCTGTTGAAGAAGGGGATCCACATGTACTCCCCATGGATCATGATGAAGCCGATCCCGTCCTCGGTGTACTCCTTCGTGGGCAACACCGACACCTGCAGGACACCGACAGACACACCTAGCGACGGGTTTTCCCCAGTTTTGTTTTCTGCTCTTAAAGCAAAGATTTTTGTCTCAGATGTCCTGAAAGCAAAACATGGATGAATCTTGACTGTCAAAATGTAACGCATCATGCCTTCACTGTTAACGTCATTACCATTTGTATGAGAGCACCCAGCTCCTAACCACCCAGGTGGATCAAGTTATGTGGGTGTCTGATATCTGTCCCTGTTTTTTTTGGCCTGGCCCAGTACCTCATCGATGAGAAAGTCCAGGATGTAAATGAGCTGGAAGGTCACCACCAGCAGCAGAGAGAGGGACGGCGTTTCCTTTCTCTCGAAATCTGCCAGCAGATAGGAGAGGTCCACAACCGCCTAGGGTGACAGAGCACCTGTCAGAATACTTTAGAATAACTGCATTATTATAAGTAGCTACTGCATTGCAATTAGGACTAGCAGCATCAGCAGAAGTAGTATTCTTAATACAGTACACCATATTCAATATAGTAGTGTTCTTCAGTAGTATTCTTTATACATTCATTTAACTGACACATTTATTAAAAATTAAATGCAGCCTAATTCAGTTTTATTAACTTCATATCATTTTCTTAAGCTGCAGAATAATCACTGATGCTTTTTAAGATTTCTTAAACCAGTTCCCTCTTCCGACTTTTCCCCATTGTGTTGTGTTTCCACAGGCAGTGTGCAGCCATGTGTGGGTCGAGACTCTGGGAGCCCTGTACTAGAGAGCTCAAGTCCCCCAGTTGAGATGCAAGATACTGCAGGCCAGGGTGGTCCAGTCCTAATCTTGGAAGGATTTCATTCTAGCTCGGCTTTTTGACATGGAAAGCAGCTCAGTTACTAGCTTAATTGGACTAATTTACCACTTTCTCCCAGTACATCAGGTCCTGCTGCTTTAAAGAGACGTAGAGAGCATATCAATTCTCCAAGACCAGAGTTGGACCATCCTGCTTTAAGCAGTTCAGAAAAGTGCAGTAAAAAAGTGTTTGTGGGACTCTAGCCTGCTGTGGACAACTGCTCGATCGATGGGGAGCCCTGTGCTGTCAGTGCCTGAAGCAGCCAAACTCTGGGCCTGTGAGCCGCTTAACCCCTATGAAGGCCTCCAGGGCTGATCGCACAGTGAGCGCTGCTTCGGTGATCAAGCTATAGATGTGTTTCCACAACCGTGAAGACTATATGGCGCAGAGCATCGTAACTGACAGCACACGTTCGACAAAGTACCGTAGAAAATCTGGTGACTCACCCATCCGATGAACCCAATGCGCACCATTGCGAATTGTTTCAAATCTATTTGACCGAAACGAGGGTTAGCCTCCCGGCCCAGAGCAAACTCTTGTAGAAAATTGCCTAGCAGCCAGAGAGGAATAAAAAAAAAACAGAACAGTAAAAAGATTCCTTTGACATTTACCATCTCATCGCCTTTGAGCCCATAAAACACTACAGGTTAGTCTTTCAAACAAGGCAATGCTATGAGCGTCATGATATTTGTATTCAAATCCTTACAGCTTTAAACTGCACGTCTTCTGGGATTTATTTTTTCCCCTTAAGCTTTTGGTCAGTTTATCCAAAAGAAACTTCCTTCTAAACCAAGACCAGCAGGCACCTCCTGACCCAGGAGGCTGTGTGAGTCTGAGCGAGTTCTCCAGCCATGATGCTAGGTGCTAGCCTGGCTTCCTTCAGGACAAGATCCTCAGATCAACCAGCTGCTCTCGGTGGTTAACCTTTCTCCTGCGCTTGCGTTCTTCTCAAACAAGTGTGAACACGTACTCTTGTCCCCGTAGTCCACCAGCTCCTCCGGAGGGATGCAGAGGGATCTGAGGTGCAGGCCCACGCTGATCACCAGAGAGAGGGCGGTACAGGCGTTGACAATCTGAAGGATCCTGCTGCTGACCAGGGAACCCTAATGAGGCAGCATGCAAACCTTTCGTTTATACAGTGCCTGAAGCGGCATACAGATCCACAGAGAGATTACCAACACAAGAGGCCAGCGTCTACAGTGGCAGTGAGCTGAAATTGAATGGGAAAAATTCTTCAGTCCTCAGAAGCTCATGTATCGCCATGGAGGTCCCCCCAAGGCACTGTACAGGAAAAATAACAGGAAACACTGCCAAACATTCAGGGTATACAGTACAAAATAGTGTTCAAAGACAGACGTGTCAATAACAAGTTGTATTTCATGAGCCATTGATTAGCTTGAATGGGAAAGATCTGCAGTACAAATGTACTAAGTTTTTTTTTTTTACAATTATTCCAAACAGTGGAGATGGGGAGTGAGAGCTACACTGTCTTCCTGTCACTGCTGAAATCCAGTCTTGCGGTCCGTCTCTTCTGATGTATTTTCAGCCCAGTGTTACTGCACGATTGTGGGAATTGCATGCACAGTAGCTACAGTCGCATGCTTTTGGAAGTGGCTGTGCCATTGAGCGCTGGATTGCTCCTGCTGAGTGATGTTTCACTATCAGTCACTATCAGTATCTGGACGTGATGTCTTTGCTTGTGTCAGTTTAATTGCAGCCGAAATTTATTTTTTCACAAGGCTGGGAAGAGACCGAGACACTTTTAAATGGTAGTTGATTGCTTTCATTTGCAGAAATTATAGCTTGAGAAAGCTAGATATAGCTAGATTAGATTTCACAAATGCAAAAATGTGGTAAGATGTTTTTTTATTGTCGGGGCTTGGTAAATGTATCCAATTTCATGGCCACTTCTCCATTTGTTCTTTGTCTTTCTCTTGTTAAAGAACCGTGAATGGGATTGTCAAAGGTTTCTCTAAGAAACAAACAGAAAATGCACTTTCACCTGTATGACACCAGCACACCACAGCCCACCAAGGATCACAAGAGTCACCACAAAGGCATGCAGACCTGCACAACAGATACAGCATCTCAGTCTACAAAATACTTGCCATGATAAACCTTCACCGCTGATCTACAGACTTCGCGAAACGTTTATGACTTCAAAACGCTGTTTACTGCCATTCACATTAATTTTAATACCATGAAAAATGTACATGAAATGTCATAGACATAAAAGCACATACTGTGTCTTCCTACTGTTCATACTGTTCAATTTAATTGTTTAAGGTTTGAAAGCAGAGGGCCATGTTGCTTGAAATGTCATTAATATTATGGATTTTTTTGTTGTTGCCAACAGATCATTATTTTTGAGATAGATAACAGTTGTAATACTCGGTATTAAAACACGCGAGGAACTAGATTCTGACCATATAGAAAGACAAAACCAGTTTCTTTACCGTTAATATTATACTGAAGAGGTTTCCCATTGTGAACAGCTTTGCCTTCGACCACCTAAATGCAGGAACAAATCAGTTATTTCAAACTGTATAAGTGGAAAACAGGTCTTAAATCACATATAATCGTAGCAGGTGTTAGGGGGTTGATTCTAACCCAGGGAAGTCAAACAAGGCACAGTCGACATCTCCATTTGAACTTTCTGCTAGAGAGTCCAGCTTGTATGATGTCAGGCTACACAAGTCCACCGAGCGAGCATTGCTCTGTTTTGGGCTTGGTGTTGTGTCTCAGTTGAACTCTTCCAGCGTTTTCCCTCTCAGTGGAGACCAAGAGTGAGAGCCCTAAAAACTGGGCCTAGCTGACAGGCGCCATAGCCCCTTCCCCCCGGCTATAACTCTCATCAACAAGGACACGTCTCACATTCCTTCCCTGTGACTAGTTGCACCTTTTTATTCAATGGCACGTGCCACTGATACTTTTTGTAAATATATGCAGTACTCATTGTACATTTTATTATTCAACTGTATAGACTTTTAAATGGTGCATATGACTGAGATTTGTTTTCATCTGTAGGTTTTTTCTTTTCTTTTATTGGAATCTATGTTGACACCTGCCCCGAGAGAAATTCCTTGTATATTTTGTACTTGGCAATTAATAAGTTTCTAACTTCTAACTCCTAACCAAGCTTTTAATTGTCAAACGGCAGGGAGGCCTTGTTAACGCTAACGGAACGCTTCTCCTTCTGGAGGTCTGGGACTCACCTTGCCGAAGGGGATGTGATAGAGTGCCCCCTGCAGGGCGGTGAAAGCCACTACAAGCCCCAGCGCTCCCCAGTCCCAGAGTCCCTCT